TTTTCCCCGTGAGCGGGACCGAGCCTTGTACTCACCCACAATTAGAACAATATCTCCAAGACCTTCAAAGTCAGACAAGAAATTCCAGTCTTCATCTTTCGTAACAGTCTCTACACCAACATACACATTCACAATCACCCACCTCCTCCCCCCACCTCCATCAGTATTGCCTGAACCTCTCGCTTCTCTTATCCCACGCATCCGTTTCAAGAAACAGATGTTTAAGATCAGTTCTCACTAATATTATCTATCCGTGATGGGTCCTAGAGGTGGGAATGCTGGTGTATCCTGGGCATTTTACCGTTTTTGTTTTTGTTTCCTGCAAGAGTAAAACATTAAAATCGTAACATAACCCCTCCAACTCTCCCTCTCTCTGCTTCGCGCTCCTGCAATTCCAATAACCAATGTTTACATTTAAGACGCAGTCTTGAAGACGCAGTCTTGCCGTCTTTCCCAGCCTTTTCCTTCTCCCGCCTCTTCTCTTCCTTCCTCCACCTTTCTTTCCTCTCCTCCTTCTTCTCGACTCTGCGGTTTCCTTTGGATCGGGCGTCGCCGAGGTAGCACGATCTCCGTTGCTTCCGTTCCGCTCCCGAAAGAAAAAGTTAATAGAAGATTTCATATTAGTTTTGCAAAGTAGTGGGGCATATCAACCGTCACCCTGGGGGCTCTCGTGGCCTAGAGGTTAAGGTGTTGGCCTCTCATTCAAAGGTCCCGGGTTCGAATCCGGGTAGCGACCGAAAAATTTTCTTCTCTGAAATTGTCTCCTTTCACCTCCTTTCCTGCTCTCCAGCAATGCTCTGTCGTCTGCTTTCTGCCCCCATCCCCTCACCTCCTTTGCCCCCCCGCCCTCTGGGCTCCTGACTCTTTCTGCAGCCTTTCTACTGCTACTCCTTGGCTTCTCCTTACTGCTGTCTTTCTGCCACACCCCTGATCTTCTGGTAGGAAAGATCTACACCTAGCCTTCTCGGACAAGGGCGAAAAATCTCGGAGGGCCTGGGTGCAAGTTGCGCACATTAAAGATCCCTTGGTGATCTAAAATCGATAAGAGTAGGCTTCGGCCGCCACCCGGGCAAAATTCAAAATTTCCTACCAACTGAAAATATTAGGTGTGTCCCGCGCGCTCATATGACCTTATGCAGTTGCGACTGGCGTAAAACACTTACCAAAAAAACAAAAACAAATCAGAAAAAAACCCGTCACCCTGGCAAAGCCCTGTACCAAGGAAGGAGCAAGGGATGTCCTTGACCATGTCCAAGAGTCCATTCGCCTGGCACCGCCCCTCATATGTCCAGACGTCCACGTTAGCAACTAAATATCCCGATAGCCATTCGTCTCCTCGGCACGTTGGTCCACCTTGAAATTGAGGTGGTTATTTTTAGATTGTCTCCTCTAGATCCGCTGTGTTCTTTTCCTGAACTGTATGACTTGGTTTAGGTTACCAGTGTCACCTCTGGAAGGACGTGGCTTTTCGCTCATGCACAGCGGACTTGAGCTGTACAGAGTGAGGTTAGACAGGTCAATGGTCTTATGTCTCGAGATGACCGCCACTCTCACTAGACGAATCTAGCTAGTCCCGTAGAGATGCAGGGGAGCAGCCAGTGTGCTCACCGCCCACAACTCTTAACGTATGCTGCCCCTGGGCTCCTGTCCTCGACACCAATATGCTAACCGGTGAGTATACCTGGTAGATGTTCGAAACAAAATTATCTCTTAGCCATTTTCTTCTCTTATTTAATCTAACTCCTGTGCGGGGCCCCAGCTGCCGTTTCACATAGATCCAGTACGCACAAACGCTGCAAGTGGTATGCTGGAGAGAAGAAGGTTTTTGGGGCAACGAATTCTCACGACAACTCCATTTTGCTCTCGATGAAAATAATGAACCCCCCCGAAAAACCCCCCAAAAACAACAACAACCAAAACAACAACAGCAAAACACACACACACAAAAACCCTAAAACCCAACAACCAAACAAATAAACAAGCAACACCCCCTAAAGCAAATATTACCAAAACAAGCCAAGCTATTAAAAATCAGGGTAAGACATAACAGGTTAGTTTGTATGCAAAGAAAGAGTCCCCCAATCTTCGTTACAACTACGAGGTCATGTCTCAGAATAAAGTTTCCCTGTCATGCTGTCCTCACATACAATTATAAATCGCCTCGTATTTGATATCATCAGAACGCTTTATTATACAAATACCTACTCAACGTAGAAACCATCAAGTTCCAGACATTGCTCCTTTCGATGTACTCAGCGGCCAAAGACGGTTGTCAATAATCTTTTGTCAAAGGTCCTAGGTGCTTTTCTCATAGCCTCTTAAAATTGGTCTCGTCTTCAAATTGCTGACCTCGCAGCATTTCTCTCACTTTCGAGATGAGGTGGAAGTCGTATGGGATGAGATCGGGCGAATAGGGCGGGTGTTCCAATAATTCTCACGAGTAGCCCTCGAGAAGCTCGTTCACAACTCTGGACTTGTGAATAGGCGCGTCGTCATGATGCAGGGTGACACCTTCTTCAAGCAAATCAGGTTTTTTCTTCCGTATCGCAGGTTTCAGTTTGTCTTAGAGTATGAACCTGTAGTAGTCACCATTGACAGTTGTGCCAGGTGGGACTGGCCAGTTCAGTATGATGGCACCAATGTCGGAAAAAAACAATGTGTATCAACTTTCTCTCCCCGTGTTTTTTGCGGGTTTTCTTTGGCCTTGGCTCATCCAAATGAAGCCACGGCATCAAAATGAGTATACCCAATGTCATCGCCAGTGATGATTTTACTAAGAAACAACCCTAAACCCACTTGTTCATCACGGGTCAAAAAGTGTCGAGCTGCTTGAACACGGGTGTGTGTCTACACTGGTGTCAACAAATGGGGCACTCACTTTGCGAAGACTTTTTTCTTGCCAAGGTCGTTGGTGAATTTTGGATGAGCTGTTGCACTGGACATACCGATCATTTCACTTATTTCCCTGCATATTCTTCACAACAGCTTTGGTTCTCTCTGCACTGTCGCAACAAATGACAACTGGGGACCTCCCATCTTCAACCTCCTACCTCCCACCTTCATACTCTCTGATCCATTATCCTTCTGTTTGAATTGATGGGGAGAGTTGAACATTTGGTCAAAACTCGGACATCTTAGCGTGAGAAGGTTACATCAATGTTTTACTCGGATTTGCCTTGGACAAAGTGCACAAGAACACCACACTTGACACGTCACAGCTCTATAACGCGTTCACCAATGCATATACAATTTGGCGTCGAGATTTCTTTGACATGGCATCAGGATGTCTCAACATCTATTGTAGTGCGGTCAAAAATTCGAGGCGTAACTTATCCTCAAATATTTCTTTATCGGGTGAATCTATGTCCCCCATACTTTGCACAACAGTTTATTATATCAATTAGTCTTAACCTAATCACACTTTCCCACAATAATTGAGGCTAGCTTTGAAAAGTTTTCTTCATAAATTTATATAAAACACGAAAATGGGATTGTTCACAGCACTTCCCGCTTCTCACACACATTTTGCATACGCATCCTACGCCCAAATAGGTTATATAGAAATAGAGGTCTTAGTTTTGACATCACGAGTGTGAAGCTTGAGGGGCGTCCCGCCATTCTGGAGAGGAATTAAAGGCCAGTCGGGGCACCGCAACACTTTCTTATTACGGATTAATAATACTCTGCGACGTTTTTTGATGTTGACTTCTTTTCATGTGATTTGCCTATCGCTAAAATATACTCATTGGGATTTTGTGATTGTTTACTTTAAAATGAGCCGAATAATCTCCAAATAATGCAAATGGGACCTTTTACAAGGTGAGACCACATGGGTGAGTAAAATTCAGAAAAAATGAATGAGATGGACTTGATAATCAACAGTTTAAATGAAAAACATATTTCAAAAAAATGTTTTGCTGCGCGTCGCTCAAACAGTATGTCTAGATTTAGCACCGCTGGCCACAACAAAGTGCTCGTATCGGCCCTCAGGAATTAGGAATGCGACTAGGAAGCTGCTAGATGCTTCAGCTGCAACTCTAGCACACATTCAAGGCTGGCTGAACAGAAATGAACCACTGTCGATGTTGTTGAGATGAGTGAATATGAAGTTGCCAATCAGACGTAACTACCAACCAAAAAGATCGGCGTAATACATTATTCTGTCTCATTTACGGAAACGATGTCAAACAGCTTGTGCAACAGCAGCAGCAGGGGTTCATGAAAGATGGGGTCCGGTGTAGCCAAACTCCATTGTCAATCAACGCCATTTTGAGAAAATATTGTGAACGTTTTAGATAAACCGGCTATTAATCTAAGTGTTGCATTTTAAAATGTTGTCAGTATATAAATATTTGTGTCATATTTTAAACAACGCTCTTTGGGTGTGCGCACAGGATCCATACAGTGCGTGATTTACAGTATCCCAGCCTACTATTAATTGCTCAATTTGAGACAATAACGAATAAATAATAAATAATTAACCCAGTCTTAACCCCCTTCATACTCTATGAACACCTAGGCTTTGCATCATTAAAAAATGAGTGTCGACAACATGACATAAAAGTAATCCATTTTGTAAGTATGAAATTGTCCATTTTCTTAACAAACTCAATTACTCACTATGTCTCCATCCACTCCCCCGACACCCGACCCGGAAAACACAAACAGTATCTCATAATGTATCTCTCTATTCATTTGTAGCCCACATTAAATTTGATATGTTTCCTACAATCAGTCAGCAGGTACGGTATTGTGTATGAGTGTATGTTATATGATTAAACAACAACAGCAAACAAAAAGAAAACTTAAAAAATAACTAAACTGAGCTTCAAAGTCTATGAAGACCTAGGCGTTTCGAAGGACACGCAACGTGACAGCGCTCTTTCTAATCCTCTAAAAATGGCGACAAAGCGGGCTGAGTGGGCTCACATAACCATAGTGAGTTTACGTGGGTGACGTCACAGCTGCGACCTCTAGTACTAGTACTATTATAACCTCTTTGCCTACGCCACAGCTCATCAATTACACTTTTTAGTCGTAAAACTTGTTACAATAAATTCATTTTAAAGTAAACACTTTTTGCACAAAAGGTGCTCAAAAAATGCGTTCAATAAGCATAATGTAGGGATTAGAACATTGACGGACTAGCTTTTAAAAGTGATTTTGCCCCAGCTGTACACATTTTAAAATCGGTAGAAACCACCCATTTGGATTTGTTATTAGTATTTATTAAGGAATTTTCTTGAATACAACTAACAGGTGTTTGCAAAAATATGGATCCGTTAAGACAAATTAAGACAAGCCATTGTGCAAAAGCTGGTGAGTCTATTTACGATAGTTTAGGAAATATTTGATGGTAAGTTGAGCACAATTTTTTGACCGCACGATAGTGGCTGTTTGTTGCGTATTTTTGATTTTATGGAGGAGGGAAACTTTATTCTGAGACAGACCACACACTAAACATTATAAGAAACGCTTCCATCGGCTTACCGATTTTCGAAAAAGAGTTCCTGCCTCGGGGCTAAGACACAGTTTGGAAAGATGAATAGGAAAATGATGGTGGAATTTGACGTTGAGTTCTACATTTCAAGTTGTAGATCTATCGTAAAGGCCTTCATAATTTACAAATAATCAATAATGACTCAATATTTTATGACAGTTACTCAATATTTCTTTGACTCGTAGTTTCATGTTTTATCGTAATGTATTCAGGTTCTTATATATTTCCTGTAGCTTACCGTGAAACATCTTGAAACCATTATTTGCACTTTGCGTTTAAAAGTTAAAATTGCGTTTTGTCCCAAAGTGGAAATAAAAATACTTAATGAGATATTTTCCTGATTAGTTTGGTGGGTAACATACAATATGAATTCCGGATTTGTTTTCTTTCACAACTCAGTGATGCCGCCTCAAATATGACGTTTTGTTAATCTTGTTACTATTGTGGGAAAGTTTTTCATGTGGGGCCTCATTTCTACCTGTTTTTTTGTCTCACTTTGATTATCCTTTCAAAAAAGTCAGCCTTTGCCCCTGCTTAGAAGTGTACACCTGACAAAACATAATTACTTCACTGAACCTTTTTCTTCCGCTTGTAGAGGTGGGTGTCGCGGAGGGACACAGGCGTCTGTCTGCAGCAAGGCGAGTGGCCAGTAGGAGGGACATCCCGTGAGCTCTGAGGGTGTCAACCGCAGATTCGCTACAGCGTCGTCTTGGTCTTCCTTTGGCTCTCCAGTCAGAGTATCTGATGTTATATGCCCTCAGAGGAGGGACAAAACATAAAGAGCATAAAGATTTTTTTGCAAGTTTTGCTCCCTCATCAACTCGAAAAAGATCGTCTTGGCGGCTGGCTACTTCCATCCTGAGGGTCAAAGACAACCGCGGAATGTTTGGGACACGTTCGTAGAAAGAGGTGACGAGACACTACAAACACATTGCAACCCAATTTTAAAGTCAGACGCACATATTTTGCTCGCAAAGCGAACAGCTAAATCTTAAAAACTAAACAGTACTGCACTGAAACCTCAATATTATAACACACAAAGATATTTCACAGTGCACACTCCCACTCGGATTCAGCGGTTTGATTCGGGACCAAACACATTTTCCTTCTAGGGAGTGGCAAAAACTATTATTTGATAACAATACTGCCGATTCGACCTTTTGATCGTGAAATACAGATGCGTTTGATTTGAAGGTCACCGTTGACTTTAGTTGGTTTTGGTCGCATTATAGGTGCACCTACCTGTAAAAAATACCCACAGTCAACGCAAAAAAGACGAAAAACAACAACAGAAAAACGTAAAAAGGAAAAAGGACGCAGCTTTGTTATGTTCTTGTCTTTTCGAAAGAGCTGCATTTTAAGAATTACCGTAAACATCTAAAATCTGCATGATTTTTAGCACTAAAATTCGTACTATGATACCACCTAGAGGGACACATTCTCTTTGTCCGAGAACGATTCCTCCGAGGCTTGCTTTACTTAGGAGACAATAAAAAAAACCCCCAAACAAACAATAACACGGACGTTCGTTTTTCAAGTGACCTAGCCTAGTTAGAAATACAATTGATATTTCAATCTTCTTCTCTCTTTTGTTAGCCCAAAAACCTCTCCCGTTATCGCTGTTTTCGAAAGAAAAAGTGGGAATTTCCAGCCAAAAGTTAAGTGTCTCTCACATCATCTGTAAGTTTCACACTGTATTTCGAAATCAGGTAGACAGTGACAGAAAGGCAACACAGAGAGTATAAAACACAGGTACCACTTTTGTCTTCTGTTTTTCTATCTACCGACGTAGACGTTAACAGCCGCCAGGTCAGATCGTCGTCACCGTTGACAGCAAAGTAAATTATGACAACGAAAGGTGATAAAACTATGCATTTTTAAAAAGTTTAATTTGTAGCCAGCGCTTGATCTGCTCATCCATCTCCTATTTTTCCCCCTCATATCTATCTGTTTTCTTTTCTCTTTATATCCAATAATAATGTTACAAATAATAATAATAATAATAATAATAATGATAATAACAATAATAATAATAATAATAGTAATAATGCTAATAATAATAATAATGAAAAAAATTATTATAATAATAATAAAAATAATTATAATAAATAATAAGAGTGAAAATAGTAATTATAACCTTGATCACAGTAATGATAATAATAATAATAATAGTAATACTAGATTGCATTTATGTAGTGCTCTATCCGAGTATACGCTCTGAGCGCTTTACATCGATTACTGAGCATAATACGTCATTCATACAAGTTGAAACATTTCAGATAAACGAGAACACAAGTCCTACCACATAAAAAAGAATTTTCTCAACAATACACTAATTATTATATGCACGTACGGACAGCAGGGGAAAACAAAACATATCAGCACTTACTAACACAGTGCAATTAAGAATTATGCAAACAAGTCGTGAGCAATTGCTTATTAAACGTATTAGGATTTCCTACTTCTCTGAGGTTTTGGGGCAAGGAGTTCCAAATTTTAGAGTAAAAAAAATAAAAGAACTTCTCTCCCCAAAAGATCCTAATTTCATTCTAGGGGCTCTGAATTTTGTTGCGTCTGTGCATGACCATAAGTAACGAGATGAAACTGACGGTGTTAAAAGCTCAGACAGAAATGATAAAGCATTATTGTTAAGACTTTGTAACAGAAGGTAGAAACTTTACATTTAGTTCTTTTTTCAACTAAAAGCCAGTGCAGAGCTTTTAACAGCTTTGATGCAGGATCTTTCTTCTTTTTCTTCAGTACTAGTCTTGTGGTGTTATTTTGGGCCACTTGCAATTTCCACATTCTTTCATATGAGATATCAAATAGAATAGAATTGCAATAGTCAAGTTGTGACAAGACAAGAGAGATTTACTTGGTTGTTCATGGATGTGCCTGAATCTAAATAGCTACTGAGGTTCTTGGCTAAGCGGGAAAAGGATAATGCCCGTATTTCCAATTTCTAACAGGCTTCTATAGACATCATTAAGATTTTTTGAACTTCCAAATCGGATGGTTTCAGTTTTTCTTCATTAGGCATTAATTTGTTTTCACATATCCATTTTTTCACTTGTTCAATGCTTTTCTCTACTGTTTCTAAGAATTCATCGTTGTCACATTGATGGAAAAAGCCACATATCTGTGTATCATTGCCGTAAAAGTGGTAGCTGAGTTGATTCTTTTGTATTTCAATGGCACATGGTTGTGTATACATAGTGAATAGTTCTGGGCCTAAAACAGATCCCCGGGGAACACCAAATTTAAGAATGCCCTTTTGTGACTTAATGTATTTTTTTTTGCAACGGATTGGCAGCGATTTGATAAACAGTTGTTGAACCATTCCAAAACAGAACCAGGAATGCCAAATGTTTTTTTCTTCTAACTTTTAGATGTAAAATTACATGCTCTCTCTCGCTCTCTCTCTCTCTCTCTCTCTCTCTCTCTCTCTCTCTCTCTCTCTCCCTCTCTCTCCCTCTCTCTCTCTTTCTCTCTCTCTCTCTCTCTCTCTCTCTCTCTGTGTGTGTGTTGTGTTTTGTGTGTGTGTGTGTGTGTGTGTGTGTGTGTGTGTGTGTGTGTGTGTGTGTGTCTGTCTCTCTCTCCCTCTTTCGATCTATCTATCTCTTTCGATAAATACATCTTAATAAAGGGCCATGGAACACATCAGTTCTAAACCACCACATCATATTTAATTAAAGTCGTGGAAAGTGTTGGCCAAGGTGCTGAAAACTTTGCTTTAAACCGCGAGCTGTGCAGGTTTTTCTTTCTGTCTCTAGAGTAAATGGTGGTAAGTTAGAGTGGCATGGACGACAAAATTATCTATAGACATCATCTTCACTTACACACCATATCTCGTAGGAACGCACGTGTGCTCAGAGCTACTTTGGTAAATCGCAAAGTGAATTTGGTTAAATTCAATCACTTCTAAAGTGGTCAAAGTTTCTGATTGTTTCGTAAAGAACTGATCCATTCACTGTCCCTTCATTAATTCACATTTGCGACGATTTTTTCCATAGTTTCAATACGCTATCAATTCAAATTGATAATGCTGCGATGTAAAAACTCATTTAATCTGTTTTCCCTACCCACATCCCATTCTCCCTGCCTTTCTATTTTTTCCCAACGGCGACACAGTTTTTCTCCTCCTCCTGGTGGCCTTGGCTGCTCCACTGACCGACGGACTTCGATGCAAAAAAGTGGACGCATTCCTTAGAGTGAACGAATGTATAGGGTGCGAAAACAACGACGCTTTGCCCCTGTTCGACATTTTTTTCGGTTATTCATACTTGAGAGTCCAAACGTCATTTTTGCAATTGGCTTCAACACTCCCAGACGACTTATGCTTGAACGATGGCGCTTTGCTGGTTTGTTCTGGGTTTTTTTTTCTTTCTTCTATTTTCCAGTTTAAATTCAAAGGCAGCACTGTGATTGAATCAAGGTCCTCGTATTCCTATAGTAATATGTATGGTTTAATCCTACAAGGAACAAAGAACTTTCGCAGGTGGTGTAATAATTGTGTGCGATGGGACTCCAATTTTAGTTGCATTTTATTTCAGTAATTTTCGGAGAGTCAGGTTCTAAAAATCTTGAACAATCCTAGGGGCGTTACCTTGACCATCGGTTTTTATTTCATCATCAATATGAACCAAATAAAAAAAAAAAACACGCGACGAAAGTAGATTTTAACACTCCCAGAGCCGAGATAAACGCAGAATAGTTTTTCCCTATTTGTTTTGAGCTAGATTTGTTAGTTTATTTTGTATTGTATTGTTTTGCCTTGTTTGCTATCTGGGAAGGAGAGGATGGGGGAGTGGAGGGGGGGGGGGTCGAAAAGCCAGTGTCTCTGGCGTAAGTCAGGCCGCTGTCTGAGGCCACTGTTTATACCAATAGTAACTACCAGCTGATATAGGCCATAATAGAAGGAAGTTCATCTTTGACGTATTGACAAATATAGATCTACATTGTCGGGATGAAAATTCTGTAGGGCAGACGAAGCCTTTTTTTAAGACATGTCGCCAAAGACTCTTAAAAACATTTCAGAGATTCTAAGGGAAATAATACACAACTCCAAATTAAGCCTCACTCCAGCTGGATCAATAGCATTGACTCCGATAGGTCAAACACTGGTCTGTTCAGTGTTCAGGCTGGCCGTGTCTCCCCACCGTCTCCTTGGTCAGTTGTTAAGTGTTTGAGGATAATTAATCTCGATGTTTTTCCAAAGCTTGCCGAAGAGCGAGCTCGGATTTTGGGGGGTTAATTTCTTGTTGTCTTTCTTCCAGGCAGGGGCAAAGAAGACTATTGCCTGCTTGTACGCGGAGGCGAGTCTCTGTAATCATGTTTTGAAAACCAGTTTTCCATCTGAGGAGAAACTTGCCAACTTCGTTACCGAAAGTTGCCAACTGCCAGATTCTGATCGGTTCTGCTTTCTGGCTGTGGTCCGGTCTGACAGAGTTAACAAGGGCTGTGATAATTTCTATGGCTCCGACTGCGATGAATGGGCCAACGTGACGTCCTGTGTCGAGAATGAGGTGAAGAGAGAGTGCAGCGACAACATGGTCAGCTTTTACAAGAGGCATGTCGCAGACCTCACACCTGACGCTTGTTTGAAAACCACTTTCATTCCTTTTACTTTTGCTTCTCCTTGATCCTTAATAATTCTGTAATTCCTTCTGCCTGCTATCCAATGGTGAAAAAAGGAGAATAACAACAACAACAACAACAACAACAACAACAACAACAACAACAACAACAACAGCAGCAACACCAACACGACAACCACCACCACCACCAACAAGAGCAACAAACACAGCAACAACAACAACAACAACAACAACAATAATAACAACAACGAAAACAAAAATAACAATAACAACAACAACAAAGCGACATTTTTAGAGATGAAAGCCTCTTTGCAAAAATAAAAATGTAATGTCTAAATTTTCCCGAATTCTTTGATATAATTTATTTATTTTACTTTTTGTTTTGTGTTTTGTACAATAGCTGTTTTTATCTCTTCGCTGAACACGAAAGATGGTTCAAGTTCAACAGAATGTGCGCACTGTTGTGTTTGTGTGTGTGCGTGTGTGTGTTTGTATGTGTTCGTGTGTGAGTTTGTATATATATATATATATATATATATATATATATATGTGTGTGTGTGTGTGTGTGTGTGTGTGTGTGTGTGTGTGTGTGTGTGTGTGTGTGTGTGTGTGTGCGTGCGCGTGAGTGCGTGTGTGTGATTTGGTTACGTTAATGAATATTCGTATGCCGTGTGACCTAGGAAGAGATGTGTGAAAGGGGGTGTATTGATGTTTGCTGTAGGATGAGGTTACGAAAAAATACTTATAAAAAAGAGGTAAAAGTAGCATCTGAGCAATGGTATAACTTTTCTGAGAGGGAAAAATCCCAGGGGGAGGGGGGGGGACCTTATGAAAATGCTCAAAGTATCACTGTATCAACTAACTACTAGATGGAAAGTGACTGTTTAAGAAACTTTTGTGTGTTGCTAATCTGAGGAATATTTTTCCTTTCAAAGAGAAAATATCAGGATTTTTTCAGAGTTGGTGACATCAACGGTAGAAACACATGTGGACTTTTTCGTTTAAATTGATAAAGATAGTCTTTAACAGATAGGAAGAAAACTGAACCCTACTTGGATTCAAATTTCAAACTGCATGATTTTTATCATTCAACTTGCCAGTGCAGCAGTTCCGGTCTTGTTGCAATTTTAATTTTCTAACTGACACGATGTGTGTACATGGTGATACTTGAAATTAAATCATTTCTCATCCTTATTTCTTATCTTTATTAAACACAGTTTAATTGTGCGAAATCCAAGCCGCCTTTTTCACACAATCTACAAAGTACAAGTACAGCAAGCAGAATGCTGAAGAGAAAAAATGCTTTTCAGATGCAACGAATTATCTTAGCAATCTCCATTTGCCTGCCAAGTAAATTATGCAAACAAAACAAAACAAAACAGAAATAAGCATAGTTAAACCGAACCGAAATCATTAGCATAAACTAAAGGACGACACATCAAGTCAGATTGACTCTTTGAGGCCCCGCATTCTATTCCTTCGACCAGGCCACAAGACACATTGTATGGAAGCAGAACTTCTTTATTCAAACACGCTTTTCAATTCTGTGTTCTGTATCTGAAACTGAAGAGGGTTTAAGCAACAACACGCATACTGTGAAATGTGTAAATTCGTGCTTCTGATTTCTATATGATGTTTGTAAATGTTACCCAAGGTTGCCTTTGGCTTGCCTCTGGTCGGACGTCTGTATCTGAATCAATTAATCAATAATTAATAGTTAACGCCCTAATTTGTACTAATATACCACGAAGGGGGCCGCATTCTTTCCTCGTTTTTGTCCGAGAAAGATTTTAATTTACCCTAAAAGACAAAAAAGACAAAGAATGTTAAGACATTTTTTTTTGTCATCACCAATTCTTTGGTCTCCGTTTCTGGAAGAACTATGAAGATCTTCATCATGGTTAAAAACTTCTCTCATCATCTGGACGTTTCGCACAGGGTTTCGCTATCAGATAGACAGTAACAGGAAGGCCTCAAAGAGTATAAATCATACGCCTCGTGTATGTTTTCTTGTGTTTCTGTCTACCCACTGGCTCCCTAACAGCTGCCAGGTCAGAGCTTCGTCAACGGTCCACAGCTAGATAATGACATTCAAAGGTAATACTATTTTTCTTTTCAGTTACTTTTGCAGTCATTGTTTGATCAGCTTATTTTAGTCTGATCTTTTTTCCGCCTATTCCTCTTCTATCTTCCTTCCCTTCCCTTCCCTTCTCTCTCTCTCTCTCTCTCTCTCTCTCTCTCTCTCTCTCTCTCTCTCTCTCTCTCCCCCTCTCTCTTTTTTTTCTCTTTCTCTCTTTCAGTCTCTCTCTATCTCTCTCTCTCCCTTTCTCAATCTTTATTTCTCTCTATCTCTTTCTCTTTCTCTCCCCCTCTTTCTCTCCCCCTCTTTCTCTCAATCTGTCTTTCTCTCTTTGTTCATCTTGACTTTTCAGTGAAGCGGCTCCAGAAAGGGCCATGAAGCTCTATTGTTCGGAACCACCCGACCCCACTGAAGACGTCCAAAGTTCAAATCGAGTTGCTGAAATCCTTGATTTGAAGAACGATCTTCGCAGGGTTTTTTTCTGTCTTTGCGGTAAGTGGAGTGAGGGTGATGCTGGAGACGAAATCTGCAGATATCATTCTCACTTACCCACTTTTAAAAACGCACATGAACTCTTGTCAATCGAGTGGTTGTTTTTGATGAGCTCAATCACTTGCTCCTTTCGAGAGGTCAGAACGTCCGATTGTTGCATACAAGAAGGTGTATACAGTGGCCATTCTTTATTTTTATACTCAACGTCTCGACTGTATTTTCCCCCTTAGTTTTAACACGCTATCAATTTAACATTGCAATATCGCAAAGTAATTTTTTTAATTGAGAAGTCTACAACCAAATAATAATATTATTTTCTTCCCCAGAACCCCAAACAAAACACAACACTTATAAATATGAGCAGTTTAAACATGCTACTTTATTGAAATTACAAAGTTCTATCTGACACTTGATTGTTTTGAGTTACTAAGATTATGAGGTCAGAAACCATTCGTTCTATCTGCTCTATCTAAATCGTAAGATTATTCGGAGTCGTTATCAAGATATTCAAATATTCGCATTCGAAAAAGCTATGTTGTGAAAGGCAAAACATTTGACGTCAAATTACTCAAAATCAGGTACTGTGCAGATAGAACTTTGTAATTTTAGGGTAGCGATGCGTGGCTCTTTTACAAATCGAGCGTCTTCATCTTCCCCTCAGTGTCGCCAATGGATCATATTCCATCATACATGGAGAGTAAACAAACACAGGAAAACAAAGAGGGGTTGGGGGAGGGGGGGGGGGAATTAGACTGATAGTTTGACGATTAGCGTTCGCCTTTTATTCAATAGGTCCCGGGTTCGAATCTGGAGAGTGACGGAAAATTTTCTTCACTAAAATATTTTCCTTTCACTGGAAAGGATAGCTCTGGGAAACCAAAAAGAAAAGGATAGCGCTCTGAAACCAAAATGAAAAGGGTAGCGCTGGGAAACCAAAAAGAAAAGGATAGCGCTCTGAAACGGAAATGAAAAGGGTAGCGCTGGGAAACCAAAATGAAAAGTATAGCTCTCGGAAACTAAAATGAAAAGGATAACTCTGAGAAACCAAAATGAAAAGCATAGCTCTTTGAAAAAAAATGAAAAGGATAGCTCTGGCAAATCAAAATCTTAAGGATCCTGATCTCTCTTACAATGTTCTGTCGTCTGCTTTCGTCTCCACTTTCTCCCCCCCCCCGTCACTTCCTTTATCCCCTCCTCCGGGCACTCTCTGCAGCCTTTCTACCGCTTCTCCTAGGCTCTACTTACTGCTGTCTTTCAGCTACACCCCTGATCTTATGGTAGGTAAGATCTACATCAAGCCTTCCAGATAAAGGGTGACAAATCTCGGAGGTCCTGTGTGCAAGTTGTGCACGTTAAAGTTCCCTTGGTGGTCCAAAATCGACAAGAGTAGGCTTCGGCCACCCCCAGGGTAAAATTCAAAATTTCTTACCAACTGAAAATTATGTTTGGTGTGTCCTTCGTCCTCATATGCAGTTGCCAGCCCCGTAAAACACTTTTAAAAAACAACAACAACAAACAAACAAAACAAAACATACAAAAAAACAACCCCAATAGCATCCCAATTTAAAGTTGGAGATACTCAATAAAAATGACTTCTCCACGCGAAATCCGAACTCGCACTTTCTGCTTGTATGAGTAATGGAAGAAGCACATTGACATAATATCGGTCATCTAGTGCCAAGAAAAAAGAAAGAAAAACAAGCAGGTAGATACAACATATAGAAAATGGTGAAATGATACAGGTTAACGCCCCTATCAACACTATTAGGACCTCCGAGTTTAACGTCCATCTCCGAAAGGACTGAGCCAGTTAGGAAATTCATATAAAGTGGCTTTCCCAAGGACACAACGTCGGACTGATCTCAATAGAGAGGAAGAGAAGAAGTAGGGGCTACCAACCACTTGTGCATCTTTTTTATGCAACAGAGGAAAGCCTACCTGTTAGACCTCAGAAGTGGGGCGGGGAAAGAATGATGAACTGTAGTTTTGTTAGTTTAGTTTTAATAAGAGTTAAACGGCATATAAAACACACTAAGGTCATATGTGAGGCATCGTGGTGAAATCAGACGCTCGTCAAAATACGGAAATTGATGAAACAGCCACTTTTCCACGAGTTTCGGTTGTTTTTTTCCCAGCTCAACACCTTTCGTGCCTATATAAAAACACATTGCCTTGTGAATTTTACTGAAAAAACGTCGATTAAGGGCACAAAATTATGAACACTCACAAGGACTCACACGCTATTGAAGTTACCAAACTTTGGCTGCCATTTTCTGGCTAATTTTACCTTTGAAACTAAGCAACCCCCACCTCTTTCAATTACAAATATCTCGACTTCTATTCAAGATAGATTGGTAGTTTTTCACAGAAAGCAATGCAGATGAAGAAGCTTTCAGATGACAACAATAACCCCAAATGCCCCAAAGTTGACAAACGCCTGATTCCACTGCGTTGTGACTCTAATAATATAAGTGCCGAAGGTTAGAGGTGTTACATAGAGTAATAAATACAAAAAAGGAGGAGGAAAGATGAGATAAGATAAGATACATCTTTATTGTCCAGGTCCTGGCACATTGGTTAGGTGTTTCACCACGTGCAC